AAAAAAAAAAAAAAAAAAAGAAAAGTAAGAGTAACTACATTTCAGAGAGAGCAGATTTTAAAGCAAGGAAAGTTACCAGGGATTTAGATGGGCATTACCTAAGTATACAAGGATCAACTCTCCAAAAAGACAAGAGGTAACAGTTCTTAACATGTACAAACCCAACAAGAGAATGTCAAACTATATGAGGCAAAAACTAACAGAAATGCAAGGAGAAACAGACTTAACTGCTGTCACAGTTGGAAAATTCAATGCCTCTCTCTCAAAAATGGACAGACACAGCAGCAGAAATCAGCAAGGACAGAGCTGAACTCAATACCACCATCTATCAATGGAATGTAACGGACATTCACAGACCACTTCATCCAACAACAGGCAGAATACGTTCTTCTCAAGCTCACCTAGACCGTTCACCATGATAGACCACGTTCTGGGCCACAAAACACACCACAGCGAGTTGAAAAGAAGAGAAATCATACAATGTCTGCTTTTAGACCACAGTAGGATTAAACTAGAAATCAATAACAGAAAGATAGCTGGGAAATCCCCAAATACACAGAGATTAAAACAACACCCTTATAAATAACATGCGGGTCAAAGAAGAAATAGAAGAAATTTTTTTTTAAAGATTTTATTTTATTTGTCAGACAGAGAGAGAGAGAGAATGTAGCACAAGCAGGGGGGGAAGTGGCAGGCAGAGGGAGAAGCAGGCTCCCTGCTGAGCAAGGAGCTCAATGAGGGACTCAATCTCAGGACCCTGAGATCATGACCTGAGCCGAAGGCAGATGCTTAACCAACTGAGCCACCCAGGCGTCCCTAAATAGGAGAAATTTAAAAATATTTTTAACTAAATGAAAATGAAAACACAATTTACCAAAATTTGTGGGATGCAGTGAAAGCAAACGCTTAGAAGGAAATCTGTAGGACTGAATGCACATATTAGAAAAGAAAAAAGATCTAAAGTCAATAATCTAATTTTCCACCTTAGGAAACTTGAAAAAGGAGAGGAAACTAAACCCAAAGTAAGCAGAAGAAAAGAAGAAGAATGAGAGCAGAAAATTAGTATTGTTGAAAACTCTGGAAAATTTTGA